GGCTGGCATGTGTTTCTTATCTCCTCCCCTGTGGAGGTGGATGGGGTAGTTGTTGCCATCGCCAACGCTCGCTATATCTCGTTCGGCGACCAATCCTTTCTTGGGGAAGCTGTGCAGTTTGGCGTGTGGAATGGAAGAAACTGAGAAACGCAAATCGACGTCAAGAGCTGCTGCGTGAAGAGCCCGGTTTTCCATGTGTTTGAACCTCGTGGTGGTCGTCAAACGAAACAGGCTTTACGTTCTGGTGGGAGGCTGCAATGCATCGCCAATCTACTGGAGCAATGAACCCGATGAGAACGACTGGGTGCCCCTGCTATATATGATGGCAAGGTCAAGACGTCAATCTTCAACGAGGAGCCGAACGCAACGATCACACATGGGTAGAGTGAGTGTCCCTGAAATGCATCCTCCCGAAAACGATCGCAGAACTGTCATGGAAGGAGTTCACTGGCGGCGTGGAAACTGTCATTGTGTCTAAATAATCAAGCTCTTGTCGTTCTCTATACAGGTTATAAACAAAGAAAAAAACGCTCGGATCGTCAAAATGATTATTTACTCAGAGGACAGCAATGCCAAATAGGCCTTCGAGGGGGGTCACAGGAAATGACTGCACTGAGGCTACCGTTATTAAGCGGGTGGGGGAAAGGCTTATCATGAACAACCGACCTGACGTTCACTGATGCAAGGCGTCCGAGGCTACCAAGATGAGGGTCGACGTGGAAAGGTGCCCTCCGAACGCTCTCGTGTGGCTGAGGCAAGTTGGCAGTGGCTGCGGCTTCATTGCCGTGACGGTTGAGGGTAAGCTTTTGTGGTTCTCCGGTATGCACCAAGCGAGTCGTGTGGGGAACTGGCGCTGCGACTTGGTCAACCCGTGTGTCACCCACAACGCCCCTGTCTTTGATGTTGGGTATGTTTCCATTGACAATGAAAGCAAACTGTACTAAATTTTCTCTGTTGTATGCAGATGACAAGCTGTATTGCCTGCATGGGGTAAGCTCTATTGGCGTTCTCGACCCAGCCCTTGTGACCTAATTAACAGGCTGTGGTTAACAAAGTCTGTTGTGGTGTCTTCGGTCTCGCAGGAACGCATGCATGTCGGTCAGTTGCCACCCTCCTCGCTGCGGTATCAGCTTCGCTGGAAGGGCGTTTGCCGCTGCATATATGCTAGCGTGACGAACGCAAGGGGAATTCCCAACGGCCTGGAGTTCAATAGGGTTGGTAGAGGGAGTGCAGGGTTTGTTGAGCAATCGGGGAGAGGATCGCCGCTAACGGTTTTCCTATTACTGGTTCACGCCGGTGGCAAGGGCGTCGATCAATGAGCTTCCGAAGCCTGATTGAGGCGCAGTGTTGTCTGTGAGCCTGGACAACCCCGCGCTGCAGACGTTCTTCGAGCCCCCGTGCGGCAGCGAAAGGCAATGGATCCCTCATATATATATATATATATATATATATAAGGGTCGGCGCTGCCCAGACTGGTGGGGTTGTGGAGGCTCAAGAGGAGAGTATCACGTTGCCCTCGTGCTGGAGGACGATATGGGGTTGGCGCGTGTGTGTGTTTATGGGGGGCCTCTGGAAAACTCGCGGCATAATGTCACACCCACCAGTGGCCTGCGTGAAGCATTCCGCCTTCAATCTGGCAGGTACGGGAACAATGCACGGGGTATGGACAACCTTGTGAGACTTACAAATTATCCTCTTTACAACCGACAGTTGGGTGTCGGCGAGGTCCGGGATGCTGCACCCCAGTCGGGATCTGATCAAGCACCGCAGGGAGGGTGAGAGAGAGAATGAGTGAGGGTTCGAGGAATACATTCCGCAACAAAACCTCTGTAGTGAGGTTTTCCGCAAAGAGTGGTCTGCGTTAGTGTGCATGCCCTCCGTTTTCTGCTGCTAATTTCCATGCCGTATTTTGTCTGTGCTGATTTTTTTTTTCTGTGCCTATTGTAGTTAAATGAAGTCGGCGGTTCATCTTTTCTTTTCTGTTAATCTTTTAAAATGAATCCAAAGACTGGGTGAGATCAACGCTTACACTCCCCTTTCTATTGTAGCAAACTGCATGGCAGAGTCAGCACCCGAATGGACGAAAAAGCGGCGTGGGCGCCCGGCGGCCTCTGCAGCAAGGGTGGAGGTTGGTTTGGCAAGGGGAATGCAGCACATGGGGGGTGGACTTGGTGGTGGTTTTGCGGTTGGTGACGCTGTGTTTGCGCCGAAGCGGCGTCGTACGAAGGGGATGCACTACGCGCTGGCCGAAATAACTGGTATTCAAGCCTGCGCGGCCAGTGCAACGGTCGCCTTTGTGAATGCCGAGCCTGGTGTGGATGACGAGGCAGTTCCTCTTTACACGTTGTTGCCGTGTCGGCGAGAAGCCATCACAGCTGATGAAGATGCCGCAAAGGACGCGAATATCTGCTCGCTCGTGCGGCGCGCGTTGTGCGCAGCAGCGCATGATGGGCCGACGCGGCTTTCTGAGAAACGCCGTAGATGGGTCACCTGCGACAGTTGCCCCGGCAGTGACACGGAAAGTGCGCCGGCATCAATCACTCCTAGTGCCCCACAAGTGACATTCACACCCACCCCGTCACCTCCAGCAATAATGGATGAGGTGGGGAATAAGGTGAAGCACGAAAATGAAGTTGAGTTGGAGGAGGAAAAACAAAAAGAGGCGGGTGGGTGGTACACGCTTCAGATCTTTTATGCACCACCGGAAAGCGTTGATCGGTTCTACGGCCGCGCCTTCGGCGCAATATGTGACAAGATCTTGTCCAGGCCCTCTTCGCAGTTGCCGAAGGTGGTGTTGTGCATCTTTGAGGAGTACCACAGTTTGCACCGCTTCGATGTTTACATGACGCTTAGAGGTCATAGGGTAAACCTCATTGATGGCGCCGACCCCCGCACCACGCGCGTTGCTGCGAATGGTGGCGCGTCGCAATCCGCACCGGACGCGTTGTGGCTCTGCCTTCTGGCAGAAGATGTGGAAGACGAGGGCGCCGCCGTGGATCTACTGAAGGACTGGCTTCACCCAAACCCCCACCACCAACAGCAGCAGAGCGGGGGCGACAGTGGCGGCGCACCGTTTTCCCTCGCCGTGGCGCAGTTCAACGAGGGCCAGATGGCGACTTTGAGCCGCGAGGGGCGAGGCACGGAGGACTTGAGGGAGCCACCGGGGGAGGAGGAAGGGGGGAGCAGCGGCGGCGCCGCAGCGGCAGCAGATAGACTTCTGGCTTTTGTTGGTGGGGACGCTGCCTTGATAAAATGCCAACTGTTTAGGGGCGCGAAGGATGACGAACTTGTGGCCACATCCTTGATGGCAGATGGCGGCCCCCGCATTCCACCCACCGGGTGGCAGGAGCAAAAACAGCCGCAGCTCGAATTCCACGGGCGCCGCTGCCAAGCGACGCGGTTGGAACTTTGCATTCCCGCAAGCAAGTGGCAGTTGGAGCTGATTCGTTCAATGCTGACGCGCAACAAACTGGAGGAGCAAAACGGCGTCGTGCCGCGGAGCCGCCTATTGCGAACCGTTGAATGTGGTGAGCTGGCGTTTTCCAATGTGCCCCTGGCGCCGACTTTGCTCCAGGCCGTTGCGAACGGAAACGCATTTGACACAGCAATGTCGAGTGTGCTCGCGTCGTCGCCGAGCGGTTCGCAACTTCTGGGCTCTATCCAGGAAAGGGTGATGCGCAGCGGATCGTTCCTGGGGGATGAGGCCTTCCCTGTTTTGGCAGCTGTGCGGGCCATTCTGGAAGACGCATTGCCTACGCCTTCGGCGGGCCGCAACTCAAGTCAGCGACGCGTGGCGCTCATCATTCCAGGCGCCGCCGCAGCAACCAACGACGCCGCAACATACCGCCATGCTATTCAACGTTTTTTGTACGCATGGCACCTGTTTACCCTTACAACGACCGACCGGCAACGACCGGGCGTTCCCGCCGTGTTGGACAGCCTCTCATGGTTAGAAACGGGCGGCGTGCTGCTCTTGAGCCCGGAGGCCCCGCTTTCCAGAGCGAGTTCTCTACACGAAGAGGCCGACATCGCCATCGCGTGTGGCAAAGCCGCCTCAGCGTTCATGGAAGCCAGCCCCGGCGTCCCGTATGTTTCCCTGCTCTCGGAGGTGGAAGTGGCGGACGGTCCGGCGTACCCGTGGATCCTTTGGCCGGCCGCCGGCAGCGAAGCAAAACCCTCCGCAGCTGAGAGGGCCATTTTGGGAAAGATGGTGGCCGCAACCGGGCGGACGCGGGAGGGCGCGCCCCTTGCGCAGACGTCGG